AGACTAAAGTGAGGCACTTGGCTTTGCTACTTTTACTCTGAGTTTATTTTCAATATCACGTTTAAGGTCTCTAGACCTCAAAAAAATAAAATTAAACTGCCTAGTATATTTCAATTCTGCACAAAATTTCTAACAGGTAAAAGTCATCTTACCCTACTGTTATATAAATATATATACATGCACATATGTATCTATGTACACATGGACATATGTGTATATATAGTTTTTATTGTATAGTTACATATATTATATAATTATATATTATATAAGATTATTATATATTATAAATAATGATATATTATATACAAAGTATATATATTATATAATTATATATTATATATAAAATTATAAATTTTTAAAAAAATTATATAAGAATTATATATAAAATATATAAAGTTACCTGGAGTTCAACTAGTTTTTAAAATTCTATCATTGCTTTTAATTTTTTTCACCTAGGATGAGCTTATTTTACCTTGATTTTTCTAGAACATTGATGTCACTGTCTCAGTTTCCCTACCTATAAAATGAGCACAATAAATTGACCATTTCATTGGATTGTTATAACTTRGGTTGATGGATTCAAAATGCTTAGTATGGCATAGAATACGCACCTAATACATAATAGCTATTGAAGACATGGCCCTTTTTATGATGGTAGCTTTTTGATGGATGATAGCCTAACCAACCATCTATCTTCCCTCAAGCTTACTGTCTATAGCAAGACTAAAGTGATATTTTTAAAATGAAAATCTGATCAGTGTAAAGGATGACATTTTGAGTTAAAGAATTATTTTTTGCAAASGAGTAGAACTGCCTATGCTTTGCAGGATGCTGAGCAGCACGCCTGGCCTCTACCCCTAAGGCCAGTAGYACCCTTTCCCCTCACCCCAACTGAGATGATCAAAAATTTCTCCAAATGTGTATTAGGAGTCAAAATCATCCCTGTTGAGTATCACAGCCTCCAATAAAGAATTTTAATGAAACCTAATCTTTAAACCTAACATGGGATAAAATGCTTTCATCATCTTCCCTTACATAATTCTACAATTATGAAATCAGAGTCTATGCTCCCTTTGAACTTAAAAAAAAAGTCTGATTCCCTACATATCCAGATATTTCATGCCCCATAGGAGAAATTGCACCACTTTATCCCTCTGTCTAGAATTAGCCTTTCTTTTCCTTCTAGTATAACAGTTTTCAAATTTTAGCAGTTCTCATATTTTAGTGTGGATGAATGAGAATCACCTGGAGGRTTTGTAAAAACAGAGTGCTGGCCTCAGCAATAGAGTCTCTGATTCAGCAGGGHGGGGCCTGAGAATTTGCATTACCCACCCACCCCCAAGTGGTGCTAAGAATTAACCCCAGACATCTGAGATGGTAGGCAAGTACCTTATCACTGAGCTATATCCTCAGYCCTGAGGATTTGCATTTCTGTGGGATGCCCAGGTGTTAACCATACCCTTTGAGAACCAATATTCTAGMCCTTYAGAGACTCCTCCTCACCCTTAAGACTAGGGTTATTTCATTTAGGACATTGGCCATGATTGCCACAGGCAGCTTGCTCTCCTCTGTTTTCATAGCTCCTTTTTATTACAGAKGTTGACCTCTTGCCCTATCACTCATCTGTTCATCTGTCTATTGCTCTTGCTTCCTGGGAACTTTCCACTGAAAGTTGCATCCACCCTAAAGCCTAGCATACTTCCAGCCCTGTGTAGATTCTCACAACCCATTTTCCTCAATAAGGATCAATCAGATCCTAAGAGCTTGAAAATCCTTAGATCTCCTTCAGCAAAAAATCATAACCTACTTACCTGGAATCGTTAACTTCCCATTTTCATCATTACACAGGCCGGTGGAAGATTGTATAAACAAACTAAAGAGGGAAATATGGCCCACTTATTCTTTTCCAATTGTTGTTCATTAAAAATATCTATGTTTAGCAAGAAAAGCTTCTTATTCCTGGGGAAGTTATCTTTGAATGCATCATACTTTCAATTCTGTAGAGACTCATCACATTCACCTGCTATGCTCTGGCAGGAACTGACCTGAGGGCAACAGCCCTCCTTTTACAGCATCATGAGGATTTATGACTTCAGGCCCAGTGGGAGGCCCTGCAGACCCTCWACCTCCATAGCCTTTGGCACTAGCAGTGGCTGGGTGAGTTTAACTAGCTGACTTGAAACAGGCACCTCAGGAAGGGACATGCTGCAGCCGGAAGTCATTTTCTAGATAAATAATTCAGGTAGAATAGCCTCTGCCAGACTATTTTATCAACACGATTGGCTAGCCAAGTTTAAAAATCATTATCTCTGATGGTTAAGAGCAAAGTTTTATGGGTAAGTTAAGAGGGCTTAAAGAAATCAGAGTATGGATTCTTATAAAATGTGAACAACTCTCTGAGATTTACAGGAATTTGATCTAGTAGATCAAGGGCACTGGGCTTAGAAAGCCAGTCACGGGTTCAAACCACGGGTCCACTCCTTACACTCTCTGCAAATGCAGAGGTTTGGTTTACTTACAATAATGKCTACGTTCGTTGAATATTTATCATGTTCAAACATTGTGCTGAGATTTACATATAGCATTTCATTCTCTCCCCCACTTAACAGTTGTGGAAAACATAAGYTCAGGCAGATTTATAAATGACAAAGACCACATGGATTGTAAATGTCAGTGAGGACTTCCTGTCAGAGCTGTCACCTCCAAAAGCCATGCATTCCCCCACCTCCCATGCTCTGCTCTCTCTCCTCTTCTAGCAACTCCTTCAGATCATATGAACCACAGATGAATTCAGGGTTGTGAAAGACACCTCTGAAGCACCAATCAACTGAAAGGCGTCATTATTATTGTTTTMTTTTTTCTTATAGAAAATGTTTTCAATTTCCTGCCCTCTCTACTATATTCTTTTCCTAATTCTTATAGAGCATTTAAAAAAAAATCCCATCCACTTGGCTTTAGCATAGCTACCTTAAATTGTTGTTGTATATTTCTACAAACAGAAAACATCATTTTTGCAAACATTTTACTAAAAAAATAACAATGATAAGAGTCATCTTTCATTAAGGACTTCCTAAGTGGCAGACAATTTCTAACAACTTAGCATGTATTGTCTTATTTAAAACTCAAACACCCTATGTGGCGGTTGTCTYTGTAACCTGCATTTTACAGAAGAGAAAACTGAAACATGGATAAGTTAAATAACTTGTCCAGGGTCATGAATCTAGGAACTAGAGAGGCCAGGATTTGGGCAGGCCCCCATGATTATCTGAAATCCAGTTGACAATTCAGAGTTGTCATCTGATAGCTTTGTTTTCAGAAAAAAAAAAATTACATAGAATACAAAAAAAAAAAAAAATCCAGAAGCAGAAGCATTCAGTATTTAGTGCACATAAAATCCATCTGTCACCTTATTAAAATGCCAATGTCCAGGCCTGGCCCTCTGAGTTTTTGATTCAGAAGGTCTTTGGAACACAGTCAGAAGTCTGCCTTTTAATAAGCASTTTTATAAAGCACKTGGTTTCAGTGAGGTGATTCTCAAGCAGGTTGTCTGCAGATTGCACTTTTGAGAAACACTGAGAGAGATCAAATATTTCTTTTGCTGAGTTGAAGAAAGTTTTGATATCAAAGACAAGTTATTCATGTGAAGATTCTTCATGACTCTAGTCCCTTTCCAAATGATTTGACATGCTAATCAATGACAAAATATTTGTTAATTTATTGAGTGAAAAAATGCAAAAGCAGAAAACTATASTTTCTGACTTCAAAGGTAATATAATCAGGGAATGCTAGCCATAAAAGAGGAACTCTTGTACACTCACCTGAATATTTGCAGTTTTGTTTTGTAAAACGCAGGCTTTGAAGTTTCTCTCTTTCTCTTTCCCAGGCTATATCACTCAGCAGGAAGCCTTGTCTTATGCWGCAGTACTTAGAGATTCCACCAAGAGAGCTCAGTCAAGGGAGATCCTCAAAGGAAGTCTTCAGCTATGACAAGAAAATGTCTGTTGGCAAGATCCAAGTTTGTGGTTCTACCCAGGGTCCAAAGCACAGGGCACTGAGCCCTCAGGAACTGGAAGTCTGTACAGTCTCTACATAGGCAGTTTGCCCGTGCGTCTCTGGCATCTGGTGGGTGTTGGGTGCACTGTTGTTGAATGACAATGAATTAAAAAAAAAAAAAAAAACTTCTAATGCAAACCTCAGATTTGGATCTAATTTCATTCACAGAATTTTTTTTTTTTACCAACAAGAACAAGTTGAAAGGTTTTAAAAGCAATAGAACTGAGGGCAAGCTTTTCCATGTTCAGTCTATAGAATAAGGTGATTTTCAAAACTTTCAAAATAAAAACTTCCTTGGAATTTGAGCCTCCCAGAGAAAATCCCCAAACAGTGAAAGATACAAGTAGTTAGAAGATACCAAGCATCCTGTCTCGGCGTGACCATTCTCTGCAAGCCATCTACTACACACACTGAAAAACATGAACCAGCACAGAGTGAAGAGGGATCAGGTGGGGYTTCTAGAGCTGTATCACCCTAGTGACAACTGGTGTGTCCATCTCCTACTTGTCCTCTTCTCCATCAGACAATAACATTTGAGTTGGTCCCAAAGTTTCTGGTTCTTGCTGGGCTCAATCACTTTGAGTGATCTTGAATCTTGCACTTATCAACCGCTAGGCTGATTCTACACAGCTGCAACTGGTCTTGACACAGGGAAGAGAATCCGTGCACACATCTTCCCCTGGCAGTTGAACAAAGACTCTGAGCAAAACATGAAACAGCCCCAAACAACTAATCCAAGTCCAACCTTCCCATGGTCTCAGAGGTTGTAAACAAAGCACACAAGACCATGCAAATGAGCAAAAAATGAGATAACAGTGAGTCAGATCATTGCACAACTGAGATTGTATTATATTATATTTAATAGCTATTTTCATCACCCACAATTTCGTGTGTTAAAAACTAGTCACCAGTATTTGCAAATAAAAAATGTCTCTTCCTCATCTTCGCTTTTAAAAATTCTTTACTGTTGAAATCAGCCAATGACTTTGTCATGTGCATGAAGGAATCGGTTGAAACAGAAAATAAACTTATTTGACAAGGGATGTGTTATATTGATCTGAAAGAAAGATGTTGCAATATTATCAGGGGGRAAAACTCATTAATGATAATTACATTCTCTCCMTAATCATTAACATAAAAGATAYTGAAGTTGTCAAAASATTCTGAGAACCCRCACCACTGTTTCTGACTTTTCCYTGGAAGGGACGAGGGGYGTSGTTGGCCCACCACTGTGATCAGAAGTCTTGGCTTCTCTGGGGTCAGTTAATTATAGAGAAACTTCTCAGCAAATCTGGGTCCTGACTCTATACTCTAAGTAATTTTARGTGAAGAATTGTTCAGTAGCCTTAAAAGAAGAAAATATCTCAAATAAAATTGGGTTGAGCTCTAGGGTAACCCTCTTAAGGACAGTGGTTTGTGGGAGCCCTAGCTTAACCCAGCTTTCCTTCCCACTATGTCCACCGTGGGCCTTTCATCCCTTCAAACTGCTTACATACACTTTTATCCCAGACCATTGTTTTTTTCACGGGCACAGATATTTGCTGTGTCAGCCTTAGCTAGTGATGCAGAATATTAAGAAGGCCACTTAGAATTCAGAACTTCAACCCAGCATCAAAAATCTCAGAAGCATTTTACAAGCCAACAGGCAGGTGAATGTCACAGGCCCTTAAGAACAAACTGGTACAGTTGATACAGGAGGTCTCACTTGATGGCTCTCCTTTCTGAGATGTTAATGCTCCTTCACCCCATGAGCCTCCCACTTGAAGCTTATGAGGAATGTGGCATGTTCTGGAACTGGAAGAAAGATGCTTACCTGAGAGGACACTGAGAAAGATGAACAAAAGAGAAGAGAGGACCTCTGAAACATTAAACAAGTCTACAATTTTGACCTGATTGGAAACATCTTTGCTTGCTCTCATAAAGTCAATGAACATCATCAAAAGTCCTGGAGGTCAATGATCATTTCACTTCAACGATCATTTCACTTCATTCACCTAGAACGAAGCCTGGCCTGTGAGAGGCAATCAACAACACTTATTAAATAACATGAAGTTCTCGAAGATTCTGCCAGTCAGACTGGACTCTGACTGGGTGATGTTATTGTAGGGTCCCAGGAAGCCACAACTACTGATGAAGACTGGCAGTGGTTTATCAAATACAGGTGACTGGGACAGTCCACTCCACCATGGTAACAGAGGGTGCAGTGTCCTTCCCTAAACCTTTTTTTGGTCTAAGTTCTAAACAGTTGTTGAGGTTACTGTTGAGTTTTAATAATAAATATGTAAGYTTCAAAAGTAGCACATTGTCAATGTTTTTCTTTTGTCATTTTACTTTACATGAAAAACACTTCCAAGAACTCCCCRTGCTTGGACATGGTTTAAATGTGTCTGTCCTCCAAGAGCTCATGTGTCAGGAGCCTGGTGCTCAGAGTGGTACTGTTAGGAGGTGGTTGTGGAGCCTAGAAGTGGAACCTAGTAGGAAGTCACTGGGGACATTGTCCCTGGAAGGAATCSACACACTTCTCTTAGGATTCTGGTTAGTTCTCATGAAAGGATGGTTGTAAAAGAATGAACCCAACCCCTGAATGACTCTTGSACTTCCTGTCTTGACATGTGAGCACTCCCTCTAATACATGTTCCTGCCATGATGCCATCTGGGAGCCCCAATTTAAAACCCAGCTTTTCTTCTCACTATGTGGGAGCCTACTATGTTGTGATACAGTCAGGTGAGTCCCCACCAATGTCAGTTTAATGCTATTTGGTCTTTCAGAATCTGAAACAATGAGCTAAATAAATCTTTTTTCTTTTTAAAGTTTTCAGTCTTGAGTATTTCCTTATAGCAACAGAAAACAGACAATACATTTTGCAATATGRTTGGCCTCCAACCCACAGAGAATTAGCTCAAAATTCCCCAACCATGAAGTTTCTACATAGTACCATTCTAGTATTTTTTTACTTTTTAAATGTTTGTTCTTTTTAGTTATACATTACAGTATAATCATTTTTACATAATTGTAAAGGCATGAAATATAACTTGTTCTAATTCAGTTCCCAGTATCTTTCTTTCCCCTTCCCTCCTCCCAATCCCTGCTCTCTTCCTTCTATTGATTTTTCTGCCATTTACCCATGGTTTTTCAAAAATTAATTTCTTGTGGGTGTACAAAATGGTGAGATTTACTGTGGTATATTCATATATAGGAAAGTTATGTCAGATTCGTTCCATGGTCTTTCCTTTATTTAAACAATAGATTTGAAATGAAAAATGAGTGTAAAGATAAGAAACAAAACTCATATGACTAAATAYATTACTCCATAGCCATTTAAAGTTTTAATTTGAAAAATCAAGATATTATTTATATGCAGTAAATGTACTTAAAGTTCAATGTATCTTGATGAATGCATAAARTCACATAGAATATTTATACTCCTCCCAAATTTCCCTCAAGCATTTTTGTTTTCAACCTCCTCCCCCAAACTCTGACCTAGGGTAACCACTAATTTGCTTTTATCACTATAGTTTTGTCTTTTCTAGAAATTTACATAATTAGAATTGGTATATATACTCCCAAAGACTATATCTTTCATGTTGGTCTCCTCACACCTAGCACAATGTAATTGAGGATCACCATGTTACCTATATYAGTAGTTTATTCCTTTTCATTCCCTGGGAGAATTCCACTGTATAAATATACCACCTCTTGATTATCCATTCACTGGTTGATGAATATTTGGATTGGTTTTAGACTATTATGAATAAAACTGCTATAAACGTTTGAATTTAAGCCTTTGCATGAATACTACATTTCTACTTATTTTAACAGATACCTAAGAGTACAATTGCTGCATTATATAATACATTTAAGTTTAACCTTGTAAGACACTGTCATACTGTTTTCCAAGGTGGTTTACCATTTTTCATTCCCATTAGCAATGTGTAARAGTTCTACTTGTTCTATATTCTTGCAATTGTTGAGAGCCACAGCCAAGTCGGGATGGCGCCTGGCATTTTGCCAGAAGGAGTGGTTGGGAGGTGACGCCAGCGAGCCATTGGGATGATGGTGATTAAGTTAAGCTGTGTATAATTATTGGGATGGTGACTGATTGCTGTAACTGGATGATGCTGGATTGTGTWTGTGGACCTCTGGTGTTCCACAGTGGGGCGGCTCCTGCTGTCTCGGGTGCCCGCTACTTTGGGGTTCTCGAGGAGTTCCTGTTGAGTTCCCGCGGAGTTCCCATTGAGTTCCCGTTGGTTCTCTCAAAGTTTCCATGGAGTTCTAGAGAGTTACCGTTGGGTTCTGGCAATAAAGTAGTTCCTATTTGAACCTACAAGTGGCTCATGACTTCCCAGTTATTTTGTGCCCAGCCAGACTATGGCATTTGCAGCAGCAATGACARATATCTTAATTTCTGTATTCTAGTGACCATTTCTGTGAGGTAGATGAGAACTTGGGTTTGTGAAGAATAGTGCCACTATGGTTATATTATGGTTTCCTTCTTTCTGTGAACTATGGAAAATTTCATGAAATAGGGTGAAACAGATATGGAGATGGTGATGGTGATAATATTGGAGATTTAACAGAAGAAATCTTAAGGGTTAGCTATTTACCTGCTAAGGCAATACTCCAGCTTATGTTTTAAGTGAGGAGGGGTTGAAGCAGGTGAGGATGAGGGGACAACAAAAACCCTTACATGAAGGACAGTCCCTGGACAAAATGGTAGTGTACATTCAGTGTGTTCTCATTAACTTCCTACCTCCTTGCTTATATTGTTCTCAGATTCAACAACCAATACCCCTCCATCATCACCAAAATCTTTATTGCACTGAATTACTTATTTACTGCTGCATGATAAATTAGTCAAAACTTAGTGACTTAAAACAGTAATACTGTCTCACAGTTTTTGTGGTCAGGAGTCTGGGCATGGCTTAGCCAGGCTTCTGGCTCAGAGTTCCACAATGAGCTGC